AAATGGCACAGAAACGGCATCAAGAAACCCCGGTCACAAAGATACGAATCTCTCAAGGGGGTTGACCCCAAGTTCCTGAGGAACATGCGCTTTGCCAAGAAGCACAACAAGAAAGGCCTGAAGAAGATGCAGGCAAATAATGCAAAGGCCATGAGCGCACATGCGGAGGCCATCAAGGCCCTGGTGAAGCCCCAGGTGGTGAAGCCCAAGGTGCCAAAGGGCCCCACCCGCAAACTCACCCGTCTGGCTTTAATTGCTCACCCCAAGCTTGGGAAGCGGATTAGAAGCTACATGGCCAGGGGTCGTAGGCTCCAAAAAACAAAGCCCAAGGTTCAAGCCAAGGCAGAGGCCTCAGCTGCAGCTCAGGCTCCCAAAGGTGCCCAGGCCCCTGTGAAGGCCCCATAAAAAAAGGTCGCAGTCTGCCAGTGTGAAGACAGATGGACTGGTGTGAACACCTACACAGTATTTGCAGATGTTCAGGACCTTATGCTGTTTTTACAAATAAACTTGAGGCAAGTTCTGTTTAAAAAAAAAAAATCAGAGAAGCACTCCTGCTAAATTCTAAATTATCCTGTGAACTTACGAAACTTACAGTTATGATATCTATAGTAGAACTATAGAAGAGCCATCAAAATCTTTTGGGCAGTGATCTACTATGAATTTTCAAAATTAATTTGGATCTTAAAAAAAGCATTAGGCGTTTCCTTTTTTAAATTTTTAAAATTTCTTTTATTCTATCTTTTAAATAAGCAATACATCTGTCTCCCTTCAATCTGTTTGTTTGTTTGATTGATTGATTGTTGGCTGTGTTTACTGATTGGTTAGGCTTTATTTCATTTACTTACTATTGAAAGAGTCCATTTTTTAAATACTGGAGTGAGGATTCCCATCCCTTGCTCCAGAGGAAAGCATTCTTATCTCCCCAATCCTCTATAAACTTGCTCCTTATTTCACACAGATGTTATCTCTGTCTTCAAAGCTGTTTGCTATTCAAACAGTTTCCAAAAGATAACCTAAAACAGAGAACAGGCACTGCCTTATTTACCAGCTGGGAGAGACAGAACCAGAATTGCCTTCTACCAGTCTATGGATGAAGGCACTGATAGTGCATCATCTTTAAATACACTATAATGCCACACTTTTCTCAACTTAAACTCCCACTAGCCCTGTATAGGGTCTCTATCATTTGTATAATGGGGCAATGCATAGTGTCAACTATCATGTTGCTGATCTAATTGCGTGTGGGATCATACACAATGTTAATTTCCATTTTTTTGATTCTTAGATTCAAATAATCAATAAACTTTTATTAACCATGTTCTATATTCCAAGTGCTGTTTTTTAAATACTTGGAATGCATTGGTAATCAAAAGTAAAAAAAAAAAAGTAGCACTTTCAGGACCTTATGTTGCAGTAAGACAAATAGTACATTTTAATTATTAAGAAAATGTGTGCGTGTTGGCTGGACAGTCGACTGCTTTTCTGAATTGCCTATTCACAACCTTTGTTCAGTTTCGTGTGACTTATTTGTCTTATTTCTTCAACTGTGCCTGATTTGGTTTGCACGCACATTCTATTTTCCCTACTCTGTGATATCTTTTGCAGTTGTCTTAATTATATTCACCACACCTTTTTTGTTTGTTTGTTCTTTTGAGACAGGGACTCACTATGTAGCTCTTGCTGAAACTGGAACTCACTATGTAGACCAGGCTGGCTTCAACTTCACAGAGGCAGAGCACTCTGCTTCCTGAGTGCTGGGTTTAAAAGTGTGCATCACCACACCTGGTATAACCTTCTTCTTAACTTGTACCTTTGAAACTTTTAGTACTTAACCTACTTTCAAAGCTCAAAGTAATACCTTCTAAATGTTTTATATATGTTACTTTTCTCATTCAGGTGTTAATGGGATCCATCTGATATTAATTTTATAAGGCATAAAGGTGTTTTATTTTGTCATATGGATAACAAATTAATCTAGTACCACTTACTGGGAAGAATAATTTTCATTAATCACTTGAAATGCCAGGTCTATGGCTGAGGGTTTTTTTTTTATGTGTAACTGTGTTTTTAGGTCACTTACTATGTTCCATTTGTATGTTTTTTTTTCCCCTACTCTAATTCCCAAGTGCTTATAGAACATTTTCTGGAACTGCCAAAATAATCTTGTTAAAATATACCACAAACCATGCTATTGTAGGGTTTTATCTTCCTGAACAGCTTCCCCTTTCACTTAGGTAAAAACAAAATTCCATTATAGAGACTGCAACCTGCAGAGCTCTAGAATTCCTGACTCCTCGGCCACTGCGGCTTCTTTTGACTCACCTCGCACATCTCTTTCTCTCTGCTTTCCTCTCTCAGCCACACTGCTGTCTTGCCTGGTTCTTCTCAAACATTCCAGGTCTTCTCTGATCCAGGAGCAATTGTTATCAGTCTCTCTGAATGCACATTGCCCTGTCTGCTGATACAGGCCACTTTTCGTATTACCTTCATGCTTTTACTCAAAAACCAAGTGTTCCTTGTAGCCTTCCCAGGCTGCCATCTCTCTCTAAGATCGTCCTCTCTAGAATTTCACTTCCCTATTTTCCTCTTTTGCACATGGCCAGCAAAGCTTTATTATGTACTTTTCTTGGCTACTGCCTAGCTTCCACAGTAAAATAAAAAGCCTAAGAGGTTAGGAACCCTTTTTATTTACTTCATTTGTTCATTACTGCATCAGTGCCTGTCTAGACAAGTGCCAGAGCCCTCCCAAAATAAATATTTGTGGGAAGAAGATAAAACAAATGAACTGAGGCAGCAGATTTCCTTGGGTCTAGCCTCAAATGTACAAAAGTGGATACCTCCAGGCAACAAATGTGCATTTTATCAGAATGAAAAGGACAACTGAAGGAGTGGACAACTGGAATATTCTGAGCCTAAAGAGGACTGAACCTTCCCTCCCACTCAGCTATTTGTGTCTTTATTGGACTGTGAGCCCTAATCACTGAATCTGTTTGTTTCATTCAATTTCCAGGGCAATTTAGAAAGGAGTGGACATTGTATGAACTCTTAGAACTAAAACTCTTTTTTTTAAAAAAATGGGAAATAATAAAACTGAAAGGACAGATAAAACCCACAAGCTAGATGAAACTGGTGCCTGGGTAACCTGCTGGTGTTGGCCAGACAAAATTACGTCATGAAGAAAAGAAAACTGAACTCTGCTCTGGTGAGGTGAGCTTGTCTTCAGGCGACTAGCTTCTTCTCAGAGTCTGCTAGAATGTCCTTTCAGACCCCAGAGTGAGTTCCTTGCTTCTCTATCATGTATGCCTGGTCAGCATAGACATAACAGAGAACTTTTCTTTCTTTAGGTAAAAGTTTAGTGAAGAGTGGGAGTTCAGAAACCAGAGAAAGCATTTTCTGGAAGACAGGGGAAAGGGAAAAGAACCTGGGCAGAGACCTGTGCTCTGGACACTGTAGTTCCGAGGGATTTTCTTGAGGTAGCTGTCTCTTATACTCACCAACTACAGCTCGCCCACACCACAGAATACATCTGAAGGAGTTAGTTACACAAAGTCACAATGTCCGGCCCTATCGCCCAGAGCTTCCTTATCTGCAAACGAGCAGCTGCGTGGACGTCTATCACTGTTCACCATGAATCTAAGGGGGCACAGTTTGGCTATGAGGTATCAAAAAAGGTATCGGGGCCATAGGCTTCGTGGGCATGGTCTCTCCAGAATGGGGGCTTCTAGTGCCAGTGGGCCTCTCTTTTTGCTGGCTCACCAAATGAAGCCCCCATGTGTAGAGGCAGTTGTGGCAGGAGAATGGAAAGCCTAGCCCCTCTCCCTTTTGTGGAGAGACATTAGGCTCAATTATCAGATCCTGTCCTGAGGGTGGTGAGAGATATAAGCGCTGGGGTGACAGAGACAGGATTCTTTTTTTTCTAGATAAAGTATGTTCTAAACTCAAGATAGCATCTCTTAAACACTAACTCATTCTTCAGAAGTCTTGCTTACCTAAAATACAGGAAATGGACCCAGAACGCTGAGGTGCTGGGTTTACTGTACTGTGTCCTCTGGAAAGATAAGAAGATGACCCATCGGTCAGAGCCTCAGAAGCTCTGTGTTACTGTGTCTGAGTTTGAAAGTTGAGCTTCTGCTTGGCAAGTATGGCACAGACTCCTAAAGTGAGAAGTGACTTACAGGTGGAAACCTGACCCTTGATTCGTTCATCTGAGTTTTCCTAGTCAAAATGCGTGTGGAGGAGGCCTCCCCTGATGATTATTGTGTGACCAGGCCTTCTTTCCTGATGATTATTGTGTGACCAGAGCCAAGGTGGTCAATGTGGATGTAGCCAGATGCTCAGCTTCTTCCAAGGCCTTGGGACCTGTTGACAATCCTTTCCCTAAACATCCCTTCTTCCCGGAATCCATTCTTCCTCTGTGCCCTCCACCTACCTCCCCAGTTTATGAGTTAGTTAGCTTCTCCTCAAGTCATTCTTGTGCTTATTCCGGAGCTCTCCTAAACTTCCTTGTGTTCCTCTCTACTCAGTTTATTGTACTTTCCTCTGAGAACCAAGATCTCCTTTTCTGTTATCGCTCACTCCCCTCCCAACTGTCTGTTTCTCCTTGAAGTACAATGCCTCCCCCATGGAGCCTCCCTTTCCTCTTCCTCACCTCTTCCAAGCAGTTCCTCCCTCTAAATACTCCCATCTTGTCTCTAATTCCTCTCCCTCCCCCAGACCACACCAGATAATTCCCATTCAAGCTTTAGATGACTGGTTATAGTAATAACGGTACTTTATTCACAGGTTAAATTGACAGCTGTTCCTTCATGTCCCATCCATCAGACATACTCATCTCTTACACAAGACAAAGTTTTACATATAACAGCTCATGTCCACAGATTGGTATTTTTCAGAACAAAACAACAATCAGAAACCCTCAGGCTTCTAATACACTGAAAAGTTAATATTTTTGCACAGACACAAATTACACATTTTCCTCCCCACACTATGCAAATTTGACTCTAACAGTTCTTTTTAACTAAATCATAGACATAGATATGGAAATCGTCATCAAACTTGATGAAGTACACAGAGGGCTTGGCTTTAACTTGGTGAATGACCTTGCCTGTCCTCTTGGAGCCATCTTCTTTGGTATATTCCACATGTTTACCTATCATGCCATCTACAACTCCTTCTGGCTCCCTGTCTGCTGGAGGAGATGCACTGGACTCTGGCATAATACGGAGGTCGCCCTCTTTATAATCATCCAGAAGCTGGTACATGTACAGGATAGGATCTTTCTCATAGGTTATGTAAAACCAGGCGTTCATGATAGGCGCTTGGTCCAGAACCATCCCCCTCCATTTATCCTTAGAACCATGCTCACCCTCAAATATGTGTTCCACTCCTTTGCCAATTATGCTATCAGCAAGGCGCACATCGCTGACTCGAGAAAACGACACCTTATCAGGAAGGATTTTAAACTTTAAAATCCTCTCATCTCTGTGAAGTTCCAGTCCATAGACAGAGTCTATTCCATCGTATTTCACCAGATAGAGAGAGGGGTTTATAGGTACCTGATCCAGAACAGTTCCTTTCCACTGGATGATGGGCTCATCTCCTTCCTTCCACCCGTGAGAAATTCTGCAGCCCACGATGTTTCTTCGAGACCGGGATGAAGGTCTGCTCCTCTGCCTCTTCTGAGCAGCTTTTTTCTTCTTGATGTTTGTGGAGCCAATATGGTGGTGAGCAACAGCTTCTCTCGTTTTCTCTCTTGCAGCTGCTTTTTTGTGAGGGGTCTTCATACCTGCAAGAGGAGGAGAGAATCCAGGGAGAAACATTCTATGCAATATTAAGGTGATTTTTTTTCTCTGCATTGGGACGCCCCTGTGCACGATACGCATGTATCCAGTAGCAGTATTCTATATCAAAACATGCTTGGATGCCTGCCTGCATTACCCTCTTCCCAGGAGTGTTTTGTTACACAACAGTTAGAGAAGAGATGGTTGTGGAAGTTGTGGCGGTTGAGAGCCAAGCAGGAGGCAGCTGTTTCTCTGTATATTTCCTGGCTCCGTTGTCATCCTAGCTGCCGGCCCCCAGCCTCCACATTTCCCATTCGTAGCCCCATTCTCATGTCTCTATATCCCTTCATGCAGGTCTCATGTCTCTTAACCACTACTCCCTGCTTTTTACCCCTCTTTTCTTGCTATCTGTGCTCACTTCTTCATATTTCTTTTAAGTCACCCTGAAAGACCCTCTGGACACCCCCCCCCCCCCCCCCAGAACCCGCAGCTGGCCTGCTCCCATGAGAACATCCTGTTCGCTTAAGACCCTCAGGACCCTCTCAGGACCTGCAGCTAGCCGGCTCTCATGAGAACATCCCGTTTGCTTAGGGAAACAGGATGCCTATAGTCAGCACATGTGCCCAACTTAGAATATCAGCAATTCACAAAAGAAACAATTCCCCCTATGAAAGATCCCAGCTTAGCTGCTGTAACGTCATTTCACAAGGCTTTTGACGAACAAATGTAAGTGCAGAGTGAGGTCAGGGTCCCTGGCTGTAAAGCAGGATATCTGTTCCCATACATCTGTGCTGGGAAAGGAAAAACCACCTGTGCCCCTTGCCCCATTCCAACTGACCACTAACAATGCATTTGCTTCTGTAATCTGCTTCTGCTGCCCTCTTTCCTATAAAAAGACCTTCCCCCAGTCTGCAGGTGCGCTTGTCTCCCGAGAGACTAAGTCGCCCCAGGTACCTGTGTACTGAATAAAGCCTCTTGCTATTTGCATCCGAAGAGTGACTCGCTGTTCCTTGGGAGGGTCTCCTCAGCCTGAAAGACTGCCCACCACTGGGGTCTTTCATTTGGAGGTCCCACCGAGATTTGGAGACCCCTGCCCAGGGACCACCGACTCACCACCGGGAGGTAAGCTGGCCAGCACAATTGTTTTCTGTCTGTCTTCTGTCTTTTATGTTTGCGCCTGCGTTTGTACTGGTTAGCTAATCAGATTTGTATTTGGCGGACCCGGGGAGGAGCTGACGAGCGACGTCCCAGTGGTGTTTGGGGGCCCGATTCGTGGCCCATTTGCAGTTTGTGAGTCGCGTGGAACTGGGACTGTTGGGGGCTGCCCCACTGTCTGAGGGATTCGTGACTCTTTTGGGAGACGAGGAGCCCGGGTCCTCAAAGTCTCCGTCTGAATTTTGCTTTCGGCATTACGCCGAAACCGCGCCGGCGCATCTGTATTGTCTGTGTATTTTTGTGCTTAATATGTTCTTTGTTTTGTATATCTGTTTGTACTCGAGTCTAAATCTGGTACCATGGGGCAGTAAATAACCATCTCTTTGACCCTAACTCTGTGAAAATCCAAAAGGAATGCTGACAGTCTGCCCCTCCTTTACTTCTCTAGGCTGTGCCTTGCTGAGGCTGTGCTGCTGAACTGCCCTGCTTGCTGTTGCAAGGGGGGAGGGAGCAGGGCTGTGATCTCCTGCAGCACAGCCTGGAGCCAGGCCTAGGTGGGGGCAACCAGCTCCAGCTCTGAGCAAACTTCTCAGCAGCAACCCTGGCCGGAGTCAGAGAGGGGGGCAGCTGTGGCCCCCACATCTGCATGTGAGTCCCCTCCCCGGCCCAGCAGTGGCCGCCTTAACTGTTACCATGGGCACCGATGCAGAGATGCTTGAACTCCTTAGCATCATTGCAGGTGCCCAGGGAGCATAACTCTCCCCTCAGTGCCAGGTCCTGGGGTGACACTGAGCCTCTGCCACACTCCACTCCACAGGGGAGCTCACAGATGGGAGAGCTCTCTTAGCTGTGTCAAAACCAAACAAAACCAAGCAAAGGCTTTAGCTCCTGTTAGACGCTGCTCAGGAATAAGCCCAGCTGATGACTAGTTGGGCCGTGTAATCCTGCCCACCTCTGCTCACAATTAGCTCTCCCTGCTACATCAGGTAGAGACTGGGGTAGGAACATCCACGAGAAGGGAAGCTTGCCCCCCTGAAATCCCTGTACTGAGAGTGACGTCCTCCCTTGCTGACCTGAAGTCTACCAGCACCGCACGGGAGGACTGGGAGAGGAGGGCTGCCTTAGACAGTCCAGGGTGTTCCCTCCCCCCTGTAGCCAATGCAAAAGTCTTCCCAGCTGCTACTGGCAGTGTGAGGGCTAAAGAGGAGCCTCAGTGGTGACCGATGTGGCATCCCCCAGGAACTGAGTTGAGGCTTCCAGACAGCCGACCAAACCTGACCTGACGAGTTCCCTGGAGGGAATGCCTCCTGGGGCCTCTGGAATCCCACTCAGAGAAAAGCTGCTAGATTGCTGTGAGTACTGAGGTATGGATTGGGGAAGCTTGTGCTATACAGCTAGGAGCTCACTGTGGACGGAGCTGAGGCTGAAGCCAGGTCCTGGGAGGATCCCCAGTGGGGTTCCCTGTGGGGTCTTCTTTCCAAAGAGAAGGCTTGTTTTCCTTGGAAAATAAGGTGCTAGGGATTGAATGGCAGCCTCCCCTCTACAAATGCCATGTAAAGCCTTGTGCCAAAGATCTGTGGCCCTTGCCCAGGGGAAGTAGCTGGTGCTAGCGCCAGGGTCACGGAACTAAGGCCTCCTGGACCTTTCCGTTTTGGCAGTAGGGCAAGAGATTGCAAGTAAATATCCCTGTGGCTGTTGGTAAATGGTGAATGTGGATTCAGGAGTGACAGGTAGTGGAATAAGCTGACATTAAAAGGGCCTACCAGCCCTGATAGCATCTCTCTTCTGGGGATGCTCTATTCCAGTCATTATATGTTACATCCAGGGTAAAAGCCTCTGGTTTAAAAATTGGAAAAAATAAATTAAGTCACTTTAAAATAATGTGCTTATAAAAAAAAAACTACAGATTGTTGGTTTCTATATTTCTTACTATGCAGTGTGTCCAGAGAAAAGTGAATTCCCAGCTCTGTTTAGATGGGTGCAGGACTACACTGTCTTCAAGAACTATTGCTGTAAAAGCCCTGGCACAGGGCCGGGGCCATATGAACAGCCCAGATGAGCTTCTAAGCCAGCCCATGTTTAGATCTGAATTTAACACTTGTCTGCTCACAATGCTTGTGATAAAGTGGGGGCCCCGAGTTGCCCCACAAGGCAAAGATCTGCTAAAGCCTCTCACCCCACTACAATGGCAGAGGGGGTGTTACTAAATGATGAGGTTGAGTTAAAATGGCCCTTTTGACTCTTTATAATGTTTATGGCTATTTAAAAAAAAACATGGCGAAGATTCTCATTTATTATTAATATAAAAAAGGTGCATTTTGGGTTGTTTTCAGATTCTGTCTATGATAATATAAAAAAAATGTCGCTAAGTTTTTAAGGTAATATGTTATCTAATTCTGAAAATCCACCATGCTAATGTTCAAAGTAGCCATAAGCATAAATTGTCAAATGATGTTTTTAATCTTGGTCAGTTTTACAGGAATAAGATAAAATCTCAGAATTGTTTAATTTGCATTTCCCTGATAATTAAGGATGTTATATTTAACAAATTTTAAATATCTTTCAGTCATTTCAAGTTCATTTGTTGAGAATTTACAGTTTTGGTCTGTGACGTAATTGTACTGAAATATTTGTTTTTATGAGGATTAAGTTCCTAAGTTCCTTATATGTCTCATGATACCTCCCCATTCTACAGGCTGATATTATGTTGTTAATTATATCCTTTGTTATACAAAAAGCTTCTCAGTTCTGGAGATTTCAATTACTGATTGTTTCCTTTAATGTCTACGCTACTGAGGCCATGTTCAAAATTCTATTTATATTGTTGCCCTTATGTTAAGGTCTTTAATTTGTTTGGATTTCAGTTTTGTGCATAGAGATAAATATGGATCTATTTTCATTCTTCTACATGATAATGTCTAATTAATTCTTAAAGGGAGAAACTGACAGTCAAAATGTTGGGCTCATGGCAAATCTCAGGGGGGGGGCTGCAAGGCACCCCACTAATTCGGCCAAGGTAAGAGAGTAATAAAAGTTTACAGGCATTTTACCCAACCTCTGAAGGTCAGCAGACAGCAGTAGCCATGGCCTACATAGGACGGGCAACATCAGATATAAGAAAAAAAAAAAAGATACAGCAAGTAAATGGGTTAAAAGATTATACTTAGTAAAATTTGGAGAGACCCCCCCCCCAAAAAAAAAGAAAAAAATTGTTAAAGGAGGGACAGAAAAAGGGAAGCGAAAGAGAGAGAGGCGGGAAGCAAAAAAAGATAGGACTCAGACAGATTAGGAGCCTGGGCAACAGAAGATCAAAGACAAATGAAGAGGGACACTGGAACTGAGTAAAGAATACAAACTGGACCTTACGAACTATAAATTTGGAAAAAAGACAAATAAATAACTCGTTCCTCCCTGGTCACTTCTGAATGTATGACCAAAGCCTTTTGTTGACCAGAAGAGGGACTTTTGCTTTCGCTGCTGTTTTCAGTTCTGCAGGAGACACAGGCTGCTTGTCCGCCTCTGCCTCTACCACGCCCTCCTCACCAGGATGACCACCTCTCCTGCCTTCACTGCTGAAGAAATCCTCACCTCCTAGCAACTGCCTTGATGCTGTGCTTGCTCTAAAGCCTGCATGAGCCCTGACTGCTCACTCTACAGTCTTGCTCCCCTCACCCATGTCAGACTGTGATACAGCAGTCACCATGCTACCACAGGTGCCCTCCTGTGCCAGACTACTGCTCCTGTGCTGGGCTGACGTCGATGGACTATGGATCCTATCAGCATCTGCATAAAGGACAGGCGAATGGCAAAATGGCAGACTAAGCTGTACCAGGCAGAGCCGAAAATGA